TTTACAGTAGTATTCATAGTAGAATACTATGCAACCAAGAACAGGTAGATTTATATGTATTAACATGAAAAGCTGTCAGACATTATATTGGGTGAAAGTAGCAAATAGCAAATCAATATACATAGCGCAATACAATTCATATTTTTAAAGTCACTAAATAATATTATATATTCCCTACACATGCAGACGTGTTTGTAATTGTTTGTGAATGAGTAAAAAAAGATGCAGGAGAAAGTCAAGCAGGGACAGAGCGGAGGTACAGAGGAAATCAATGATGATCGAAGGAAGGAAATATTCAACTTCCCTGTACTGCTCTAATCTTTCAAAAGAAAAATGTATTCATGTATCATGTGTGTAATTAAATCAATGAATAAGAAATTAAGAGTTATATAACTGGATTCATACATATTGAATGAATAAATAATAAATATATATTATATATTTATAGTATATAAAAATACATATAGCATACTACAGCATATATATATACTTATTTATTCACACAAAATGCATGAAAAGAAGACTGTAAGGACACTCACTAAACTGTAGACAGTTGGTTGTTTACTGGATTTGTTTTGTTTTGTTTTGTTTTTGGGTTTTTTTTTTGGTGAGATGCCACAGAGCAGGCAGGAAAGGCAAGTTAGAACATTTACTCTCTCTGTAACTGTGTATTATTTTGCTCTTTTACCATGAAAATATGCTTATATATTGTTAATTTAAAAAAAAGATATGGAAAAAGTCAAGGACACAAGGTTAAATGAGAAAAGGTGGTTGCAAGGTAACACAGTATTAATCTATTACATAAAAAGCAAACCAATGCACAAAAAATTAACATTTTGCATGTATTTTATATAGGTAGATAAAATTGCAAATGAAACAAAGAACCATTGTCACATTTGAGGTAAGGCATTTAATTGGGTAGAGGTGAAGGAAAATAATGAGATGATTAAGATTCCAGCTCCAACGATTACTAGCTGTATGACCACATGCAAGTTACATGACCTCTTTGTGCTCTCAGTTTCCCTATCTGTACAATGGAAGAATAACAGTTATCTATCTCATGGATTGTTGTAAAGAGAAATGTGCTAATCTCTTTAAAGCATTTGGAGTTTTGCTGGGCACAGTAAGGCCTATATAAGCATTTGCTCTCGTTGTTACATATTTCTATATTTTTAAAATTTTTATAATAATATATTCATACATTCCTCATGTAATTCCTTGTGTATTCCTAGCACAATTTTAAAAATAAAATTTGAAACATAATATTAGAGAAAAAATTTTCTAGGACAGTACATTGCAATTTTGTTCAACTTTTATTTTAGGTTTGGGGTACATGTGCAGTGCAGGTTTGTTATACAGGTAAGGTCGTGTCACAGGGGTTTGGTTTAGATTATTTTGTTATCCAGGTACTAAGTATAGTCCGTGATAGTTATTTTTCCTGATCCTCTCCCTCTTCCTACCCTCCTCCTTCAGGTTGTACCCATTGTCTCTTGTGTCTCTCTTTCTGCCCATCGGTTCTCATTATTGAGCTTATTTAGCTCCCACTTATAAGTGTGAACATACAGTATTTGGTTTTCTGTTCCTGCATTTGCTAAGGATAATGACCTCCAGCTGCATCATATTCCTGCAAAGCACAGAATCTCATTTTTTTTGGCTGCATAGTACTTCACAGTGTATACGTATCACATTTTCTTTATCCAGTCTATCATTGATGGGAATTTGGGTTGATTCCATGTCTTTGCTATTGTGAACAGTGCACATTGCAAAGTAATACATAATTAGAAACGACTTAAATGTCCATCAATAGGGCAATAGTTAAATAAGTCATCATACATTCATAACATGGAATACTTTGCAACTCTCAAGAATGAGTTGGGCTGGGCTTGGTGGCTCACACCTGTAATCCCAGCACTTTGGGAGGATGAGGTGGGAGGACTGGTTGAGCCCAGGAGTTCGAGATTAGCCTGGGCAAAATGGTGACACCCCATCTCTATTTGTATTAGTAATAATATTTTTTTAAAAAGAATGAGTTGGATGTCTATGTATGGACACTGGATATAACCATGGTATATTCAACATTCTTTAAAGTGGTAAAATGGTGTGTATCATTTTTATATATGATATATGTATACATCTATATGTGTTTACGTATTATACATGTATATTTTATGTATACACATACACATACACACACAATTCCCTATGCTAACATACACGTAAAACTGGCCTTTCACAATTTATCCGATTTACTTTTGTGTTTGACTTTTTTCTTTGACACAGGGTCTCACTCTGTCACCCAGGCTGGAGTGCAGTGGCATGATCACAGCTCACTGCAGCCTCGACTTCCCCAGGTTCAGGTGACCTTCTCACCTCAGCTTCCCGAATAGCTGGGATGTGCCACCAGTAGTAGTATGTGCCACCACATCTGGCTAATTTTTTATATTTTTTATAAAGATGGGGTTTTTCCAAGTTGCCCAGGCTGGTGTCAAACTCGTGGGCTTAAGTGATACACCAACTTTGGCCTCCCAAAATGCCAGGATTACCGGTGCAAACCATCGTGCCTGGCCTGACTATTTTTAATTATGATCATGTTATTCAAATATTACCATTGCTCATAGTATAAAGTCCCAAATCATTAAGGGAGACTGCCACCCAGCCTCAGCACTCTCCTATGGCTAGAGCATTACTTAATATGCTCTAGTCATAGGATATATCTTTCAGTTATTCAAATTACTATACGTGTTCTAGCTTCAGGAATTTGCACATGCTGTTTCCTTTACCTGGAACATGTCTTTCACCTACCCATCATCCACCTACATCTACCCTATTTTATCTTTCAGTCCTCATCACTTCTTCAGGGAAGCCTCCCCTAACATTCCAGGCAGGGTGAGGTCCTTCTATTATAACACTTAGCGAACACTTATTTTTCATTCATAGCTCTTATCATCGTCTACAGCTTTCTATTTTAGATAAAATTATTAACATCTGTTATTACTCCTGTTAGACTGTAAACTCCATGACAGCAGGATTCTTGTCTGTTTTAGAGGTCAGTAAATATTTGTGAAATAAACGACTGTCATCCTTTAATTAGGATAGACCTTGGCTTTGGCGCTGGCTCCATCTTCCTTTCCATTTCAATCCCTAACATCATGTAAGCAACATCAATGTCTGCGGATTACTCACTGAACATGCTAGCCTCACTGCCCTTTGATCTCCTCTACTTCAGCAACCTCTGACCACATGCCACTTTATATGCCATTGCTAACCATTAGTTTCCTAGACCACCCAATAAGCATGGAGCTGCTCCACTTCAGAATTTCTGAACTCTACTAGCCTAATCTCTGGATACAACCTCCTACTCCAATTACTTCTTGGTTCTCAGACTACCCACTCCTCATTCTCTTTCTTTTTAAAAAAAAATTTGATCAAGGAGTCATTTCACAGCCACTTTTCATTCTCATCAAGATCCATCCTTTCTACCATTCTCCAGCTCATTATCACCTCATGGCTTCAATCCCTACCCAGTCTAGGTGCCATGGTGCATCACTTCAACCACTTTCTTGCTGGCTACTTCACTGCCCTTGCCATTTTTAATCTACCATTCATTGAGCAATTACTGTGGGCCACATTACATATGTTATCTCTGCAATCCCTCACAAAATCCTTGAAGTTGTCAGCATTGTCCCCTTTTACAGATAAGGAAACAGATTCTAAAAGAAGTAAAGTAGACTTCCAGAGCACTGGTCCTTGCTGGGGTGGGCTGGGTGGCATTTAGGTGGCAGAGTCTTGAGTGCCCCTACTGTCAACTGTGAGCAAAGTGTTGCCACTGGCAGCCTGGCATGGCACTCCAACTGTAGCTGTGTCAGTGTGCTATGATGCCATCCCACACAAACCTGGTTGGAATCCCCAGTAGTAAAGTGAAATACTCAAGGATCTCCAGTACAGGTGATGGCTACACTGACCTTCAGTTTAGAAAAGCTCTCCTAAAATCCCTTACAAGGCCACTGCATTTGCCACTGTGCTTTCTCGATTGGTGCCTTTCTCATTATCACAGGCTCACCTTCTGGCTACATCAGCAAGGTGGGGGCAGACTGGGCAGTTCCAGTCCTGATCACTAATTCTCCTATTTCTGTTCAGATTTTACCACCTGCACAGAGCCTACTATGCATCCAAAGGATTACTTCTAGGGCTTACCAGGATTATTTCTAAGGCTTGCTCCTAAAATGACATTCCAAGCTTTGATGACTAGCATCCACTTCAGCTCTTAGGAGAAGAGTTACATTGAGACTGTGCCCAGCCTAGAGACATTTAGCAAAAATCAAAGCTAATTAAGAGTTAATGAATTTTGCAGTTTACAGAAGTTTAACATAACAATGGCCAGATTTTATGGGCCCATCCCAAACAATGTTCACTTAGCTTACCATTTGGTAATTAAAACATGCTCTATTTTTCATCTCCTGGCCCTGGCAAGAGCTTCTGACAAGCTTTTCCATATGAATATGTATTACATAACTGTCTTATTTAGAGTTTATTACGTTGTTATTTAGAGTTTATAACTCAATTGCTAGCACCTTGTATTATGATGTCATTCTGCTAAAGATAGAAAGCCTGAATCTCCAGAGGACTAGATTGTCTTATTTTGAGTCTGTTTCCTAGCTTGAAAAAAGTGACTTATATTAAAAAGAAATTAAAATGTTGAAATCCCCCAAAAAAGAAATGAAATAATTTGTGCAAGGTCACACAGCTAGAAAGTGTTGGAGCAGGGTGCAATTGGGATCTGAAGGAGATATGTCTTGAGTCCAAGGTCTGTACTCCAAACCAGCAGGCTATTTTGCTTCTCAGAGGGAAAGATAACTGTGACTGCAACATGGAGCATGAAAACGTGGGAAGCAGGCAAATGCGAAGGCTTGGAGACCATGGCAGCAATCCAAGCGAGAGTTGATGGTGGACTAATTATCTACCTGAACACTGCAAATAACTTCAAATAAATTTCCACTTACTTCAGGCATGTGACTTTACAGGATGAACTTGGTTCGCTTTGGCTGACAGCACAACTAGGTATGCCTACAAGAAACCAAAAAGAAATCAGCAGTTTATGACATTCTTTCAGATGTTTTTAACTTTTCTGCAAATATATATATACACATATATAAAATATATGCATATATTATTTATTCCTAAGTATGCAGACATTTATTAAAGACTTCCCATGTTCTGGGAATTTATTATAGTCTTATTTAAACTTCCAACTACCCCGTAAGCTACCATTTTATAAATGAGGAGAGTGAGGCTGGGTGCAGTGCCTCACATCTGTAATCCCAGGACTTTGGGAAGCTGAGGCAGGCGGATCACTTGAGTTCAGGAGCTCAAGACCAGTCTAAGCAACATGGACAGATCTCGTCTCTACAAAAAATACAAAAATTAGCCTGGCATGGTGGTGCACACCTGTAATCCCAGCTATTTGGGAGGCTGAGACAGGAGAATCGCTTGAATCCTGGAGGAGTAGGTTGCAGTGAGCCAAGATTGCACCACTGTGCTCCAGCCTGGGCAACAGAGTGAAACTCGGTCTCAATAAATAAATAAATAAGAAAAGTGATGGACAAGAAGATCAAGAAAATTGCTTAATGTGACAGTTAAGTGTAAAGATGGGATCAGAACCCAAATCTGCTGGTCTCCTTCTGGTCTCCTCTCTATTCATTTACCCAACAAAGTCCCAACCTTAAATTCATACTCCCTGACACCACTCACAGGCTGTTGGGGCCATGACGGGGGGGGGGGCGGTCGTGGTGGGGGGGGGAGAGTGGCAGAAAACACGCAAGGAAGCAACTACAAATTTCCACTTTCCCACCTTATCAAGGAACCAGCCTACAAGACCTGTGGCTAGTGATCCGCCACGGAGGGGCCGAGCTTTATCCTGAAGGCCACAAGGGACCCTTCCGCAGTCTTACTCTAGGCAGTGATCCTGTTTTACACTCCCCACTTTGCTGGCACCGAATCCAATAGGAGCAGCAAATCTAGCCTCAAACCCAAGGACAGGGGACAACTGCTGTTCCATTTCTTCTCTCATAGAATCAAAAGACATAATGGCAGATATCACCATAATGTATTTGGGTTTTCTCCCCTTTTTAAACCATAATCTAGGGTCTACAGATGACCGTGAGTGAGCCCAGGAACCCTTTGTGCTTACATGCAAACCACAGGCATTTTTTTTTTTTTTTTTTTTTGAGACGGAGTTTCGCTCTTGTTACCCAGGCTGGAGTGCAATGGCGCGATATCGGCTCACCACAACCTCCGCCTCCTCGGTTCAGGCAATTTTCCTGCCTCAGCCTCCGGAGTAGCTGGGATCACAGGCACGCGCCACCATGCCCAGCTAATTTTTTGTATTTGTAGTAGAGACGAGGTGGTCAATTGGTCAACAGTTTTCCTGATTTTCAAACCGGTATATGTGCATCCTACACCCCACCTCAAGAAAAACAAAAAGAGGTTAAGAATCCTAACTTTAAGCTCTGCCACCAAGAGCTTTTCCGGACGTCTTTACTCTTAGTTGCGCACTCACCTGGCTCTCGCGTTCCGCTACGTCTGCCTTCCTTCCAGCTCTCGCGTCCCCACCACGCACGCACCACCCAACGCACGCACGCACCCCCACGCACGGACCCCCACGCACGTACGCACTACATGCTCACGCATACATATTAATACATCTATATCCCCTCATACACACCTCCACGTGCACACACGCCCATCCCCCACGGGCTTCTTAGTGAGTCTCCACACTGGAACGCATCTCCAGGTCACCACTCGCACATTCCTTCGTCCGCACCTGTGTAAATCACATCTTCGCATCTCTCCCACACATCTCCACACGCCCACAAGTATTCCCGCGCACGCTCGCCTCCTCACACGCGCACCTCTCTACACCCCTTCATACACACGCATGCCTTCTAACTACACGTACCACTCCACTTACACGCGCACGCACCCTGCACATGCACCCCTCGGAGCTTTTTCCTCTCTCCTCCCAACGGTTGGCTTCTGGAGGTTCGTGGCAGCGAGGTCCCTCCCCTGCGCGCTGAGCTCACTGCGCCGGAGTGGGTAGCAGCCCCACAAGTCCGCCCAACTGGACCGTCGCTTCCCGCCTTAAGTCCCAGGAGACACCAGGCGGGACGTGGCACCTCCTACGCTCGGCTCAAGGGAACTCCCAGCATTTCCCGTCCTTCCGAATTCAGGGGTTTCAGGGGGTGTGGGGAGGCGTTTCTCATCCTCGCTGGGGAAAACGCTCACCTGGTTCCCAAAGCTACTTTGCCTTTCCTCTACTTCCTGCCATAGGGGAAGGGATTCCAAGAGAAAGCCAAGATCTTTGGGGCGGAGAAGGGGAAATGACTCAGTGAAGAGGCGGCCCAGAGGGAAGGGCTGGGCAGGAAAGGGAGGGCTGTGGGGTGCCGGAGGGAAAGGGGAGAAAAAGGGGATGGGAAAATCGCGCAGGGGGCAGTTTTAGGGGTGTCTAGCAAAGACCTATTAGGCCTTCCCGGTTAACCCTGACTTCAGGAGCTGCTGCACTGGGTCATTTATTTCCTCAGTGCTGGGCCTTAAACTTTACTTCGGGCCCAAAGCAGCCATGGCTAAGACCCTAGCTGGCAGCTCACCAGACATATAGGAATCTACAGGTCTGGGCATGGGTGCAGGGATTAACTCTTCATGTCTGAGGGAGCCAATAATAGTCTTTATCTCATAGGGTTGCTGGGAGGATTGAAAAAATCATTTCATCTGAAGTGCTTAGCATAATGCCAGGCACACTGTAAGCAACCAATCAATGATAGCTCCTATGATTCAAAAAACCATCATTCGTTGATACTCTGCCTTCCCTCTAGATTAGGAGTCTCATGAGGGCAGGGATTGTGTGTCTTATTCATCACCGAACTCCAGCACCTGGCACAAAGAGACTACCAATAAAATATTTGTTGAATGAGTGAATAAATGAATGGCGGAATGATAACTTGGAGTGGTAGCTATACCAGTACTCTCCTCTCTGCCATTTAAGGGATGTATTTGTGGGAGTTTGGATTGGGAAGACCGTAACTGGAGAAGGTGGCACACAGGACCCCTGTTGGTTGCTATATCAAGTGACCTGCTCTGCCCTTGGAAAGTAGAATATCTTTGGCAATTCTCTACATGTACACATTGAAGACTCTCAGATGGCTGACCTGAAATTTGAAACAGAGACATCACTAGCTAGCACAGTATTTGCATTTTGTACAGTTATCAAGCAGGATAGGAAAAAAGGCTGAAGCAGTAAGTTCAAAAGTAATGGTGGCAGACGATTGTCAAGACAGGTCAAAGTGAAGTGTGTATGGGGAAGGATAGTCACCCCCAAAGGGATTCTGATGATGGTCCTAAAGTCCATCCATTTCTCTGTCCCAGTTAGAGGATTCCTGATGATCAGCCCTGATGTCCCAACATTCTTGGGGTAGGTATGCACATCAGACTCCTATCACTACATTCACTAAATTTGCATTTATGGTAATTCATACTGTTAGGGCTAGAAGAGACCTTAGAAATTACCCATACACTTTAATTCCTAGTTGAAAAACTGAGAGCCAGAGATAGCAAAGGACCCAGGCCTTGGAATTCTCTGGCCTTGGTACTGAATCTTTCAGAGCCTGAATTTATTGTATATCCTATTTAATTAATCTCTGCCCCATCCCCACCCCCAACTCCCAAAATGCTGAGAAGAATGAAAGGACATGAATGGAAGCTCAGCAGAAGGGAGGAAGAGAAGAGGTACTTCAAAAGACCCTGACTTTACTTCCTTTTGCTTCCCTCTGAGGAAGTTACCTGGACCTTCAGCTAGCCTCTGTATGAGAATAGCTCTATCCTGGCACCCTAGCCACCTGGCAATATCTACAATGGTCCCTCAGGTAAAGGCTTGAACCACAGCTAATCTGGGTCTTGGCAGAATGCCTGTGATCCTTCCAGAGCACAAGGGATGGGAGGCCTGAGAGGAGCTGCTTCAAGATCATTTCCCACCTGCCTCCTTATCTCCCTTGGAAAGCTCCATGAGATAGTTTTTCATCGCTTCCCACCTCCTGGGTTCTGATAAGGTACAAGACTTCCTGACCCACTTCCCTCGGAATAGAGCTACAGACTATGAAGCCACTTTGCTGTAGTCTATAATTGCCTTCTTAGCAATGAGGTATCACGCAACTCACTTGGCAGTCTTCTGGTCTTTTGTATTTCAGTGTCATCCTTTTGGTTGTTTGGGACAAGGACTATTCAAGGCTAGAATCCTTGACTCCTTTTTCTTTCACTGTGTGAATAACAAACTGTTTGAATGTAAAAGTGATTCATTTTATCTTTACCTACTAAGTCAGTCAGGACTTGGACTTGGACTTGCCATATGTGCTTGGCAGCTGCTTACTGTGAATTTCACATTTCTGGGCCATCTCATGACCCTCCCTTATCACTGAGGGAGTTATGTTGAACACAGAGGTGTTGATCATAGTAGCTTTTTCTTATCACCGAACATCAAAGGAAAAATAATAAGCCCCAATTCGATTTGGGACTTTTAATCTGGCTGGAAGAGTAGCAGATCCACTTTGTATTCTGTGTACAAGGCCAGCCCTTGTGCTCTAGAAGCCCATTGTGCTGTGAGACTCAGTTGACATCTATATCCCCTTTGAAAGAGTCCTCTTGGTCCAAATATTTCCCCTGGCAGGGGCTTAGCCTGACAGGACATTGTCAGCTGACCCTTCTAAACTGGGACGTCTGAAGCTTGCCCTCTCCAACTTGTCAGTCCAAAGTCAGACAACAAAAACATTTTCCCTAGAAGGTTCTTCTTAATATTTCTTGTTTTCTGAGAAAAAATGTCTTGTTTTCTATGTGAATTTTGCCCATATTCCTCCATTAGCACATTATTGGTAGCTAATTTATTAATTCTTCTAATTGTTGCCTTTAAAGGAGTCTGGCTTTAAGGAACGATGGCAAGAAGCAGTCATGGGAATCCTGGACAGGAATATGTGCCTCAGAGGGATTATACAGATGGTGCTGGTAACTTCACAATGTATGAGGTGGCCTACTTGTGATTCTGCTTATCAGATTCTAATTCTATTCAACTAGCATTTATGAAGCACCTCCTATGTACAAGTTTCCATGCTAGATCTTGGTAAGAGCTTCCACTTGCACTCTGGTGTCTCTACTAAATGCTCCCTTTGTCAACTACCACTAGTAACTCATTGAGTTCATAGATGTAAAAGTATCTGAGAAGCAGTATTGAATTGGGTACTCCATTATAAATGTTAGGAATATTTTTCATCTTAATATCCCCCCACCAAAATTAGAAGAGTATTAGGAACATAACTAGTGGTTAATAACTGCTTGAATGACCCGGCAAGATCAGTCATAATTGTAATTTGTGTATTGTGCCCAACAGTATAGGAAAACCACCTTGATCTTCTATTCCTGGAAATTCATTGTAGAGGAGAGTTATTCTCACTAGCTATCATGCTATATACTTTTCTAGTAACCTCGTAACAACCTATTTGATCTCTGTTACTCCTAACCATCATAACTGAGACCACCTCCCTCCCAACTACAGGCTCAGATTCACTGAAACTCTGAGACCAACTCTATTTTCTCAGGTAGGGAAACATCAAGAATCCTGTATCTGTTTTGTCCTGGCACATTAAATGAAGATGGCCTTTCCAAACATCATCACACACAAAAAATATATTAAAATCTTAGCTATGGGTAATAGTCCCATATTTGATATTTGCCTAGGTTGCTCTTCAATTAAACCACTAAACACACAATGTTCCAAATTCTTTTCTCCTTTATATTTTACTCCTCTTGCCTTTGGGCTGTAGTTCTTATAGGCCCCTGGTCTGATGACGTGTTTCAAATCACTTCTCTAGCCGCTGCCCTTGACTGCCCTGCTTTATTCACTTCACATCACATGATCCCTTTAGTCTTAGTGCCACTACAAATATGATTAAAATATGCCCAATTCCAGCCCTGAGGGACCTCCTAGCCCTCCCAGTCTCCTCCTGCAGGCCACATGTTTTAACAGTAAATCAGTTCACTTGCTTCCGGTCCTATCCTAATCTTAATCAATGGGTTCCAGCACTGGGATTTTATTTGGTCTTTAATTTTCACCTGCTCCAATCTCTAAAACTGAATGTGTCATGTTTCTTTGAATCTTATACCTTCATTTCTTTGGTCTTCTTGACTATATCATGCTTCTGAAATCAAAGTCTTTTTGACCGGATTTTGAGCTCCAGACTCCCTGGGTCCTTTCTCTCCAGATCACTACCTATTATATGATCTTTGGTTTCCCCTAGTCACTTACCCAGTTCCAGGAGAATCTATGGCCATCTTCCTTTTAGTGTTACCCCAATTAAACTCCAGCAAGAGACAACCAAGAATTCATGAATACATATATATTTATTTAATTCATAATATAGCATTTCGGATGGGCTGGGATATTGTAGAGAGGCATGAGGCTGTGTAATCCACAGATGCTCATATTTCTGTCACTAGGAGAGACACTATTGGTCCAGAGCTCCCAATACAAACAGGCGTGGGGTAAAGCATTTGATAAAAAATAGTCCAACAATAGTCTAATAAATAGTCTAGCCAATAACAACAACACAGCATATGTCTGAAGCTGGCAGACTACACCATAAAAGGCAGTTTTGCCTGACCTGATGGCAATCAGTCTGGCCAACGTGTAATATACAGTCAAATACAGCCAGTGGCTCCAAGGCTGCAGTTGGCTTCAGGAGCTAGAAGTAAATGTAGGAGTGGTTCTTACCTACCTGCCTGACATTCTTCATTCCTTGAAGGAAGCGGTATCAAATATTTGATTTTATTCAAAAGTCCATCCATGGATTGCTCCATCTTGGTAGTCATATATTAATATGTAAACCATGGAAGTTTAGAAAATTCACCTAGTGTGTTTTAGCTGAAAAGAATGTATAAGTGATTTTGCTGCAATCTGAATTTCACTGCATCCAAAGATTCACATAGAATTGTATAATAAAAACACATCCAGATGCAGTTACCCTTACTTACAAGTAGCCAGAACCTCAATGTGGCATTAAAATTTCTTTCATATTCTCAAAACAGGCTTAACATTAGTTTGATTTTTTTGTGCTTTC